TTCCCTTCTGCATAGGCCAGTGACAAAATTCTTGGGTGTTGGGATGTTAATTATGTGTCCCTGTAAACTCTTTGGGTTTTGTTGCGGATTTGCATAGCGCCGTGACTTGTACGAACATACGTCTCACCCTGTTGCAGAGCTGGCCGTCATTAGACCCCTTCCTTCTGTTTTATTTACTTTCTTTCCATTTTCTGCTTTTCCTTCAGGCAGGTTGACAAAAGCTCCGGATCCTAATGCCCCCGGGAAGCTAAACTCTCCTTGTGGAAGAGACGAATCGACAGTATGAGGGTTTCCTCCGTCTGGGTCTTTTTTTTCTTCTTCTTTGTCATTTCTTTGTGTTTCTAGGGTGCAGAGCCACGGGGAGGGGCTGTCTGATACCAAAGGAATTATATTTAGGAAATAATTATTCTTCTCCTGGAAGAAAAAAAGTCCCCCAGGCCGTGTCGTTCAGCACCGAGGGTTTTATTTAGTCCAGCGTGCTATAAAGAGAATCTGATTTCTCTCGGAGCTGGGTGACCTGTTTTGGAGCCTACATTTCCCCACTCCTGGCGGCATCCACAGCGCAGAGAAGTTCACTCAAGCTATTTTCCAGCCAACCGCGTGTCTGTTCGGCGGAAAAAAGGAAAAAAAAAACAAACAAAAAAACGAGGGAGGTCCGGATACTAACCTAGAAATCATGTGGGATGTGTGTTTAGTCATTGCTCGGATCCCAGAATGATGGCCTCTGTACGTCCCATTGGACATTTCCCGCGTTTTATTTTCGGCTAGCGGTTTAGCGGGCTCCCAGAGTAAGACCTGTGATGCTCAGCCGTTAACGAAACTTCATCCTCTGCAGGAAAATGGATCATTTTCACCCCGGCGGATTTTTTGTGTCTATACGGCCCCCGGTGTTTGCACATTTGGACAAAGAGAAAATAAAACTCACGTGTAAGCCAAAGGGACGGGTATCCTTTTAAACATTTTTATACTGTCTTCTTGGGTAGTTATCTGAGAACTGAGGGTCCGTATGCAAAAATGCTTTGGGATATTTTATTGAATAAATACATCGGGGAACTAACGAATCACATCAGTGTGGAGGAGATGGTAGAACCGGAAATTCGGAAGCAGGGCCACCTGCTTCAAGGTCTGGGGAAATCAGAAACCGTGTCTTGTTACCGCTGTGGCCGGGACTTCCACGCTGGCATCCACACGGACGTAGACGGCCCCCCGCCCCCACCCGCCCGCATGCAACGCAGGTGTTCTCAGGAGGAGGATTTTGCCCCAGTTTGAAAGGTTGCTCCAATTCTGAGCCGGTGCAGTTGAGACAAAGCGAGAGCACAGCTGAGTCAGAAAAAAGAGGCACGAACCAGATGCGGTGGTTTTGGTTGCCCTTCCGTTCCGCTCTCCCGCGGGGAGGCGGGGACCGGCCGCGACAGAGCCTGGGCTTGGGTCTCACATCGGCTGCGTCCCATTCTCCACACAAGGCCACATCCACACGTTCTAGGAAGTAGGACCTCCTACCTGCGGCGGCCATTTTTCACCCAACCGCATCATTGTAACACCCAGAGTCTCTCTTTCTCACGTGGAAAGTGATGCCCAGAGAAGTCTTGCAACCTGCCTGCAGCTACACAGCTAATCACTGGCCCAGGCAGGACTCCAGCCCAGCTGAGCACGACCCTCGGCCTGAAATGCACCCCCTCTCGGGCCTGCTGCCCTCCTCCCCAACAGCCACGGTGACTATTCGTAACACTTTGTCGTGAGGACTTCTATCTCCTGTAACGACGATGTTTCCGGCAAAGTGGCGGATCCCAAATCGTAATGTGTCGTCAAAGTCAGCCTTTGACCAGAAAAGGTTCCAGGAAACTAGACAGTCACATGAAAAGGGGGAAAATGAGAAAGAAAAAAAAAAATAGAATAAAGTGTCTTTACTACACTTCACTATAAAGTGTTTACTACACTAATGACCAGACCTGGCTACTCGTTGGGATTCCTTGGGCTGTTGAAATGAATACCTTTCTCTTTGTCCCGCCTTCCCAGAGCCCAAGGGGCAAAGGTTGAAGTGCCCTTGGGGGTGTGGTGAGCTGTGAGTGGTGGCCTGCACGTGGATGGGACTTCACGAGTGGGGTCTTCCCTCCACCCGTGGAGAACAATGTGTAGCCAATTACATAACCCCAGCAAGAACAAGGTAAACATCTTTTCAAGATGGCGGCACCATCCAAGGCCTCCATCTGAGGACATCAGAGAAGGGAAGACATGTTCACACGGGCGGAGGACACAAGCAATGCTTTGTTCAGAGACAGAGAAGGGGACCCCAACCCAGAACAGCACGGGCGAGCAGGGAGAAAAGTCTAGACCTGGTCTGTGCAATATGGGAGCCACCAGCCACCTGGGGCCACTGGGCCTTGGATGTGGCCGCATTCGCTGAGGGCCTGGGTATTTATTTATTTATTCATGTATTTATTTTTATGTTTATTTACTTTGAGAGAGAGAGAGAGCAAAATGGTGGAGGGTCAGAGAGAGAGAATCCCAAGCAGGTTTCACGCCATCAGTGCAGAGTACAACGCGGGGCTTGAACTCAGAAACCGCATTGACCTGAGTGCGAATCAAGAGTTGGACACTTAACCTATGGGGCCACCCAGGCACCCTCATGGGCCTGGGTTTTTAACTGTGTTGATTTTTACTTGATTGAAACACCATGGTCTCATGGCCAGTGGCTACCATCTTGGATAGCATGGCTGCAATTTTGATTTTTGTGCTGTTTGATTCACTCATTGTAGGAGTCTGCTTGAGCTGCCGTAATTAAGGTACCACAGAGCAGGTGGCTTAAACAACATTCGTTACTCCAAGTCCTGGAGGCTGGGGGTCTGACGTCCAGGCAGGGATGAAGCTGGGAGTCTGAGATCCAGGAAGGGCCGAGGCTGGGAGTCTGAGGTCCAAGCAGGGCCGAGGCTGGGAGTCTGAGGTCCAGGCAGGGCCGAGGCTGGGGGTCTGAGGTCCAGGCAGGGCTGAGGCTGGGAGTCTGAGGTCCAGGAAGGGCTGAGGCTGGGAGTCTGAGGTCCAGGAAGGGCTGAGGCTGGGAGTCTGAGGTCCAGGCAGGGCTGAGGCTGGGAGTCTGAGGTCCAGGCAGGGCTGAGGCTGGGAGTCTGAGATCCAGGCAGGGCTGAGGCTGGGAGTCTGAGGTCCAGGCAGGGCTGAGGCTGGGAGTCTGAGGTCCAGGCAGGGCTGAGGCTGGGAGTCTGAGGTCCTGGGGGGTTCGGAATTTTCGAGGGGAATGCAATCCCAGCCATAGCAACCCGTTACCCACCTTTCCTGTGCTCCTTCCAGACGCCAGGCGCTGCAGTATTTTCCAGATGTGGCTCACCCTGTGTGAGTGTCCATCCCCGGCTGGGGAGACGGCAAGGTTATTTGGTAACGGTGGCACATTGTGATCCGTGCTGTAACGGAAGTCTGGGCAGGGTGCCAGGCAACACCTGGCGGGCAGACCGCTCAGTCTCTGAGCCGCAGAAGCTCGCAGGGGGAGCCCAAGTAGGATCGAGGCGGGAAGTGGCAGGGAGCTATCTCAGGGGTCCTAACCCTTGGCTGAGCTCTGAAGGGCGGAGAACGGTCCTCCGGAGCGCATTCCAGGTACACGGGGTGAGTGTGCAGGTCCCTGCTCCAGGACAGGAAGCTCTGTGGCATACTTTGTACTCCGAAGCCCTCACAGATGAGGTCTAGCCTCTGCTTCCGGCTTGGTCCCCGAGATTCAGAGCATCCTACTGGGGAAAAGCTTTCTGCCAAGGGTGGATGGGTTGGTTCTCAGTGGGGGTGAGATTAGGGGCAGACGCTTGCCCGGCCAAGTGCCCTCAGAGAGACTTATCAACCTCCTGGCTGTTTCCGAAATGTGGCGTGTTGGCCAAATGGAACCCTGGCTGGGGGACGTGCCCATACAACCTGAGCGTGTTGACACACAACCAAAGGATCTGCTTCTTCGGTGGATAGTTGGGTTTGTTCGCGGGGAAGGGTGGTCTGAGCATAGCAGAGACCTCGAGTACCCCACTATGCTGCACCGAATGTCTCCTAAAGCTTCAGACATCCCAGATGGCCAGATCATGGTTCCACTTGGCTTGGCCCTACGCAGAATAGGAATAATCCATGAATGGAAAATTTTACTTCTGAAGGCACGTGTCCAGCCCTCTCTTGTCTTGTTCATCAAGGTGAATTCAGACTGTATTTGGATGTGATTCGTGTTCCCCTAATGCTCTTGAACCAGCCCACGGTCCCATCCAGGGCGCCAGATTTCGTTACTCGTCATGTCTTCAGGTCCTCTTGGCTGTGACGTTTCTCAAGGAATGTCTCAGAGTCCTTGCTGTTGATGACCTTCAGAGCTTTGAGGAGGACTGGTCAGGCATTTTGTAGGATGCTTTCTGCGGGAACTTGCCTGATGTTTTGACCGTGGACAGACAGGGGTGGTTGGTTTTCGAGAGGGAGCCCAGGGAGGTAAATGCTCTTCTCAGTGCATTTTACCAATGTGAGTCAGCTCACACGGAATAGGAATTTAACTTGGACCTTCTTGTGGGTAAAGTCACTACCTGAGGTATTTGGAATTCCTTTGCACGGGGACATTTGTCTCCTCTGTCTCATTTATTGATATATTCAATCATGTACTTACATCTGTATGGACTCGTGTGGATATTTATTTTATATTTTGGGTTACAACCCAATGGCGTTTCATCTTCGTTCTCCAAATGTGCCAATGTTGGCCATTGGGATCTTTCAGCCTGACTTCCCTTTGACCCGGCCCCCAAACATTTTGGGTTTTGAGCATCTTCTAACTCTTCAAGGTGATGAGATGATCCAGGCACATCCTGTGTCTTCCAAGCCCCAGTCCTGGAATTAGCCGTGTGTCCAGTTTCTCTGACTCGTGTTAGGAACGAAGATAAGGATGCTGGGTGGAGTGACCTCTCAGCAGCATTGAAGACATTTAGATTTTCTCCACTCACCGCACACTTGTGTTTTCTTTCCCTTGTCTTTCTACCTAGTAGGGCCCCTGAGGGTGCGGAGAGAGCTGGTGGACACGGAGTCTCTGTTCAGCTGTGCTACGGAGGTTGTGACGACATCTCCATCGCGGGCCACCCCCGGCGGCCCAGGACTCCAATGTGAAGGGGCGGCGGATCCCGGCAGCTCAGTGCGCGGCCCTTTTCTGGAGACTGCGGAGCAGCGTGGCCTCCCAGCCACACTGTGGGGGTGAAGGGTGGGGTGGGCACCCAGGGGGTTAGAGCCATTGCCCTGTCACTCATGATGCCAAGCCATTCCCAGGCGGCCAGGACTCACAGGCACTGCCTCCTCGGGGCCACGCTGCCGTCTGCCCCCTCCATACCCACTTGTGTTCCCAGCCAGCCACCCCGCCCGCCCGCCCGGCCCCTTCTGTTGTGAAGTTCTCATCAGCCTTCCCCTTGTGCAGAGTCTCACCTGACAGGGGTCCCGACGCCCGTCGGAAGGGTTTGTCCTGTCCCCCAAGGCCAGACAAGTTCAGGGGACAGTCCCCTCCAGCTTAAACCATCGTTGAGGTAGTTGCCACGGGGGCCTGGGCCACGTAATCTCAGAAGCAGTGCAGCCGTGGAAGGCACGGGAAGCACGCCCAGCGCTGTCCGGTCCCCTCGTGTGTGCTGAGCCCCGGAAGGCACAGCCGCCCTCTGAGGTGCAGACTAGACTTCGCACATGCAATGCGACAGCTCCGCCGAATTCCAGACGCGCGTCTAGCAGTAGCTCATTGGGACCCGACGCCACGCGCCAGGCGCTTTCGTGGGGGCGCCCCGCGGGCAAGCGGCCCTGCCTCGGCCGGCCACCGCGAAGGACAGCTGTCTTCCCTCCGCTTTGTTCAAAGGAAAATCCAGGTGGGCCCCGCCGGGTGGGGCGTGCGCGTCTCCAGGAATGTCCGCGGCCTCGAGCCACCCGGCCACACCCGCCCGCCCGCCCCGTCCGTACGCGCCCGGTGAGCAGCCACGCTCTCCTTCCTCGCGAGCATCCTTCTCTTCCGCAGGTGTGATGTCCGTACGGCGCCTTCCGTGTTGTTTTGTTATAGCTTCCGCCTCCTCGCGTGGAGAGAGGCCGTAAAGACAAAGCTCAGACATTATGGCTATTCCAGAAAATAAAATATTTTTGAAACCGCACGGCGTACGTTCCGATCTTTGTGTCGTTGTGAACCCTGACTACTGTGCTCTTGGCTCCAGAGCACTTCGCAGGCACGGAGAATTCCGCGTCCCTGTAGACGGGCCAGGGCAGGAAGGTGCCTCACATGTCCGTCTCCGTGTTTCGCAGAGGGAGACGCCTCTCAGATGCTCCAGGAAAACGGCAACAACACGGAAAAAAGCAAAGACAGAAACTTGATCACGATGGTACCACCAGAGGTGTTCTGAGGTCGCCTTCCTGAACGAGGCCTCGGCTCCCCACGCCTCAGGGGGATTCAGGACGTCCCTCCCCGCCCCGCCCCGACCTGCCCGATGCCCCGGGGCAAGTGTCCTCAGCTTTCCTTAGCTGTGTGCCTGATTTCCGAGAGGCCCCTGTCGGGGGACAGACCGGGCTCTCAGCTCAGCCCAGAACAGGACGGAAGCACTAATTCATAGAGCTGGAAAGGCACACATAACAAGTACACTTGTATCTATTATTCAACTTTTTAATGTTTATTTATGCTTTGAAAGGCAGAGAGAGCACATGAGCAGGGGAGGGGCAGCGACAGACGGAGGGAAAGAATCCCAAGCAGGCTCCCTACGGTCAGCACAGAGCCCGATGCAGGGGCTCGAACTCACAATCCATCAGGTCACGACCTGAGCTCAAGTCAAGAGTCAGATGCTCAACTGACTGAGCCGCCCAGGCGCCGCCACTCTTCACCGGTTTAAACCCAGCTTTGAGGGGCGCCTGGGTGGCTCAGTCGGTTAAGCGTCCGACTTCGGCTCAGGTCATGATCTCACGGTTCGTGGGTTCGAGCCCCTGCATCGGGCTCTGTGCTGACAGCTCAGAGCCTGGAGCTGCTTCAGATTCTGTGTCTCCCTCTCTCTCTGACCCTCCCCTGCTCACGCTGTCTCTCTCTCTCAGAAATAAATAAAACATAAAAAAATTTAAAAAAATAAATGCAGCTTTGGGCATCTCATCACTGGGGCACCCTTGGGGAGCCTGATTGAGAACACAAAGATAATAGTAATATGATGCCTACTGTATACGGCCAAAGGGCTAAGTCCGTTAATAGATGGAGAATGTCTTTAACGGCTATATGAGTTCCTCATACATGCCAGTTACCATCACTCTGAACATTTTCAGGTCAGCAAGGAACAGAGTCAGAAAAAGTAGACGTTTGTGACCTTATGTGAGAGGCTTGTTGAATTACGAGGGCATGATTGTCTAATTAAGTCACGTTCATGCTCCGTAACAAGATAAGAACTTACACTCCTCTTTGCAACCTTATTTAAAAAAAAAAAAAAAAAAGAAAGGATCTTAGATCTTATCTAGAAATCTGAGTGGGCAATGTAGATTTCTCTCTCTCTCTCTCTCTCTGTCTTGTCTTGTAAAAGCTTAGTGTTCTGCCGAAAAGCTAAGAGAAAACACGCTAACACGTTCCTCTCTTTATAAATGACAAGGTGAAATGATCCACTTTCTGGAATCGATTCTAAGAGAGTAAAGCAAAGCATTAATCTGATGTAAGCGTTTTCACTCAGCACAGGCTCTGTTATAACACAAAGGTAAATAAAAAATATATCATCAACACACTGTAATAGTCAGTGCTGCCAGGATGGTCATAACCTTATTTAATCCTTCTCACCCCTGCGAGGGAGGGAGTGATGTTCTTGATCCTTTATAGATCGGGGAGCTGATGAATGCAAGCTGTTTGGCCCGGGTTGGCACAAGCATAATGCGTAATGCAAACGCCTGTGTGTCCAAGTTCAAAACCAATGCCTTAACCCCCACAACAGCCTCTCTTTCTTTCTTTCTTTCTTTCTTTCTTTCTTTCTTTCTTTCTTTCTTTCTTTCTTTCTTTCTTTTCGAAACACAGAGGTGTGAGGAAAAGAGAGACAGAAAATCTTAAGCAGACGCCACACTCCGCGAAGAACCCCACTCTAGGCTTGATTCCATGAACCATGAGATGACGGCGTGACCCCAAGTCAAGAGTCCAGCACTTTATGACCTGAGCCTCCCAGATGCCCCTCACTTGCATTTTAGCTGGTTTTGTTCCTCAGTCTGAGCGGGAAATGCTCATTGTTCTTGTGTTTTGCACAGGGTGATCCATCTTCCCCGCGTTGATGGATGTGCCTGTGGCATGTCCTACTGTTCCAGATAACTGTGGGCTCCCGTGTCTCTTATCAGACAAGATTTACATTTAAATTAGCATCGTTGAGTTTAAAACTCTAAGTGAATTTGCAGAGTTTTCGTTCAAAAATGACTGTTGTCAGACTTGAGCATTGCTCTCGAGTACATTTGAGGGGACACATTTAATGATCACTAGCTCCATTCTGTAATCATGCACTGAACTCTCACGATGCCACCTGCACCCCAGTTTTCTGAAAAAGTCTCCAGGGCAATCCTGTGAGAGACGCACAGTGGATGTCTTCACTTGCACACCCTAACGACAGAGGAGGGCAGCGGCTGAATTATATGCCCAAGATAAGGTAGCTGGTACCCGGGTCTCCTGCAACAGCATGCCTACTCATAACCTCTTCATGATGCCAGCAAACACCCTGAAGGATGGAAGGGATTGGCAGCAAGCCAGGAAGTTGAGAATCTTTCATCTATCCACCCACTCATCTACTTACCTAACTATCCATTCATTCATTTCATCCAATCATTTATTCATTTAACCACCAATCCATCCACCCATGAATTCATCCAGCCATCATCCATCCACCTATCCATCCCTCCACCCATCCATATATCCACTCACTCATCCCTTTACCCATCCATCTAGCCACCCATCCGTCCATCCATCCATCCATCCATCCACCCATCCATCCACCCATCCATCCGTCCATCCATCCGTCCATCCATCCGTCCGTCCATCCATCCGTCCGTCCATCCGTCCGTCCATCCGTCCGTCCATCCACCCATCCATCCACCCACCCATCCACACATCTACCTTTCCTTCCTTCCTTCCTTCCTTCCTTCCTTCCTTCCTTCCTTCCTTCCTNATCCACCCATCCACACATCCACCTTTCCTTCCTTCCTTCCTTCCTTCCTTCCTTCCTTCCTTCCTTCCTTCCTCCCTCCCTCCCTCCCTCCCTCCCTCCCTCCCTACTCTCTTCCTTCCTTCCTTCCTTCCTTCCTTCCTTCCTTCCTTCCTTCCTTCCATCCATTTATCCATCCACCCACCAATCCACTTATCCATCTATCCACCTATTTATCCAGCCAGACAGCCAGCCAACCATCTAACCATCCACCAACACACCTACGCACCCATCCATCCATCTACCTATCCATCCATAACTTTCTGAAATCAAATGTTTATATCCATGTGTATTCAGACCTACTTCAATACCTGGTGGTAATGAGTACTCATTAAATAACACACACCCATGAATGAATGAGTTAGCTTAGTCTAAATCATTCTGCAGACTACTTGGGAGTGTATTTTTATTTCCACCAAGGAATAAATCCAAAAGAAGAGAACAAGTTGGTTGTAAGAAGTCTGTGTTCCCAGTTTCATTGAGGGAATCATATTCCCCTGGAGAGAGAGCCAAGCTCATGATGCAAAGAAATCACAAAACATATTCCGCACAATATGTGTCGATCCCTTTACAGTTCTGTCTGCATAGCTATTTGTCCCTGACACAATTACATTCCAAAGAATTTCCATGACTTTATACACGAGAGATGTAATTCTGGCCACGTGTAATTGGTTCAAAATTTATGGTTCATAAATAACACTAAAGAGAGGGATTCTATTCTCCTGATGGTTCAGGAAATCGGAAACAACAGGCTGCAATACTCACTGTCTCGTCAGTGAGTAACGTTCTAAGTCCTGGGCACATCCTACTCCAGAAATCTGGAAAGCACAGGAAGTCTGTTCATACTCCCGTGTCGACAAACATTTGAACAAGTCTGCAATATTTTATATTCAAAACGCCGCTCATTTCACGATGCCTCGAAGATCTCTTGTTTTTTTATTTTTTCTTTTCTAAAATAAAAGACGTCTTCATATTATAACATCTTCGCTCTTAGACTATAACTAGATCATCTAAACTAATCTAGATCATTAATGCATCTTTGACCAGGGCTTGCTATATAAGTTAAAATACTGAATTATCCTGGGTTAAATTAATTATTGCACACCACTGGGGTGGACAGATGCAAGGAAAACAGTGAAGGGTGGCTTGTTTGCACCTAGACGCTGGAGAATTCCAGCATCAACTACTAAAGTCGGTGAATAACCACCTCCAGACTTTTGCTTTTTTAAAGCTGAGCCCTGAACCTTCTGGGCAAATGCACTTTGCTCTGTTCAGAATCCAGCTGTGGAAATCCATCACAGAGCTCCGCAGGGAGCACCCCACGCAGACTCTGCCTCTTTCAACAACGAGTTCTAGAAACCATCAACCTAGCAAGACTCGATTTTTAAAATTTAATGACATTTTCAAAATTCTCTTTGTATCTCCGTTTGCTGTCTGGGCAACACATTACTTAACAGTGATTTGTTTTTGGATTTCATCAAAGTTCCTTTCCCCTCCATTATTTACTAAGCCCCATTTGTAACCATTTTCCCTGGCTTGATCCAGGTCAGGGACACGCCGCACACAAGCACTCAGAAGGAGGTGATGAACTTGCACCCGGGGGCTGTTGGGAGTCAATACTCTTGGTTGTTTCTGGTCACGGTGATGCATTTGAGCGACACAAATAGCTACCTGTATTTAAAACCCTGAAACTCAGTGTATGTTCCACAGGGCGGCATCGGCACTGCCCAGAATCTACTTACACTTGCAGAATGTCAGGCTCCACCCAGACCTCCTCCTGAGCCAGAATCTGCCTTTTAGCAGATTCCCTGGAGATCTATATGTAAAAATCACTGTGAACCCAGAAACAGAAAAAAAATGGGTAAAAACAGCTTGCTTCTTTAAGAAGATAGGCATGCATGCTGCTGTTTGAAGGCAAACCCAAAGCCATCATTATTTCTTGGGGAAATAATGCATCTTGA